CTAATTGCAATTATGTGATACTTATTTGTCACCGGTTGCAACTAGTTGCAACTCAATTTTTATTAATATTGCAACTAATTGCAACCCTGTGATGCTTATTTATTACCGGTTGTAACCAGTTGCAGTACTATCTTTACTTTTATTTATAAAAATATATATTGAGATAGAAGTAGATGTAATACAAAGGTAGATATAAAAGTTAAAATAAAAGCAGGAGTAAAAGGAGAGATTAAAGTAAAGAAAGTAGTAGAAGTAGAGATCAAAGTCAAAAGCTCATTTAAATTACCATTTTCACATGAAGATATTATTTTTATTTGTTTATTAAATCAAGATTCTATTAAAAAGTACAAATAATTTGAATTATTCTAATTTTTGTAAAAACTAAAGAAGATTTATTTTTTTTAATTTCAATTAATTGAATAGTTATAATATTTATTCTTTTTTTGAAAAAATTTGTTTAAAAGAAACAATACAAAATTATAACTTTATCTCACTATAAATTATATTAAGAAAAAAATAAATATAAGATTCAGCTTTATCTCATTAAAAATTACACCTATTTATAGAAAAATAGAGCTTGCATAGGAGAAATAATTTAAAAGTACTTTAAATAAATTTTTTTGAAAATTAGTTTTACTATTTTATTATAATAATTAATAAATTGTATTGCAACAACTTAAAATTCTACAAAAAAATTATTTGATATTGTAATAACCTATAAATATGCTTACTAGCAAAAATTTTTAAAAAAATGATCTTATTAATATTATAATAACCCAAAAAATACCTAACTAATCTAAATTGTTAAATTATTAATTAAATAAATTAATTAAATTAAATAAATACATAATATTGTAGCTGTTTAATTTTATTAATTCACTTTTCTTTTTATAGGTAATTTTTGGTTCTTTGGTAAGCAATTAGTTTAATTTATTTTATTTTTCTATTTTATTCTTTTTGTTTCTTTAAAAATTCTAATATTTCTATTCTCATAAATTCACTTTTCTTTTTATAGATAGTCTTTAGTTCATTTTTCTATTTTGTTCTTTTTATTTCTTTAAAAATTCTAACATTTCTATTCTTATTATTTCACTTTTCTTTTTATAGATAATCTTCTCATTTTTTCATTTTGTTCTTTTTATTTCTTTAAAAAATTTTAATTCATTTTTACGGTTAATTTTTTTAGCATTTATTTTTTAAACTCTTTTTATTTAATTCCTTAGGTAGTATTATAAATAAACAATATTTAATATTATTCACATTTGTCATTGTTAATTATTATATAGATATATTTGTCTAATTTTAAAATGATCTAGAATATTTTTCGCATTTTAGATATTTTTTTATTTTTTAAAAAAATTTTTTTATGTTCTAAATAACATATATATAAAAATCTAAATATTTTAAAAAAAGAATCTTTTTTTGCATTTCAAAAGTCTGTCACGTTGAAATTTAAAAAAAATAAAAAAATAATATTTACTAGAAATAATTCATTTTGGTTAGCCAATTTTATATATTAAGTTTTTGGTTAAATTTATTATATTTGTTTTTATATTTAAATTTTTATTTATTTATTATTATATAAAAATTTACATAAAATAAAAATAATAAAACTATTTAAAAGATAAATTTTAAAATAAATATTATATGTAAATTTATAAAAGACTTGTTTTTCTGAAATGAAGATTTCAAATCTAAAAAAAAAAAATAAAGTAAGTTGAATGAAATAGAGACAGTGTAATGAATAATTAAAAAAATATTAATCTATTTTTTCTAAAATGTAGATTCTGAATTTAAAAAAAAAGTAAGTTAATAAATAAAGTAAAGTAGCGTGATGAATTTTAAAAAACTTACCTTTTATTTCTAAAATAAAGTTTTTGAACCTAAAAAAAAAAAGAAAAAATAAGTTTAAAATGAAATAAGAGTTATATGAGAAAAATTTAAAAAATTTACCTTTTATTTTTGAAATAGAACTTTAGACCTAAAAAAAGAAAAAAAATAAGTTTAAAGTAGATTTTAAATCTAAAAAAAGAAAAAATATACTAAATAACATGAAAATCTATTAAAAATCATCATTTACTGAAGTGTAAAGCTCTGAATTATTCAGAAAACATAGAGTTTATTATAACAAGAATTGACTGTATACTTTTGAATCTATTTTAAATACTTCTGTTTATGCAACCTTATAAGCAATTAGACGTTTTTTATTATAACCATGATTAGCTAAATGCTACAGAATCATAATATAAGACACATTTACACCCTTTAACAATTATTTTTGAATGTTAATAATCTAGAAGAAACTGCTAGATTTCTTCTAATATACTGACTTTTTGAGCCCTCTGAGATGATATTTTAGGATGATCAGAACATTTTTAATGAATAGTAATACACAGTTGATTATATGATCTTATTGTTTTTTTTTATTTTATAAATGTATTAAAATATTTTTTCCAATCAAGTTTGAAATTATTTGTACAGTTGATCTTAATATTAATATATCAAAGATTAATGCTAATGTATTTATATACATATAGGATAAAAGTATCTAGACACTATGTAAATTACTAAATTAATTAAGTTAGCTATAAATAAACTTATTTTTTATTAATAAATATAATTTCAGTTTTATAAGTAAATTTGTTTATTATAACATATCACATAATACATAAAAATTTAAAGAATTTCAATAAAAATTGGTTAAACTATAATAATTTAAAAATTTATTTTAAAAAAATACATTTTTTAATAAAAATTTTAGTTATAATATAATATTAAAATGTTTGATCTTAATGTAATTTTTATTACTAAGTAATCTTTTTTATTATTATTTGAAATATATAATTATATATTTTCATAAAATTTTGTCAGGTAGTTATAAAATAATATGAAAAAAAAACTGAAAAATTTTAAAGAAATTTTTAGCTATATTACATTATAATCTTTAGTAAAACATATAATTTTATCATTTATTAACTTATATTTATCTAAAAATAATACTAATATGACATAGGATACCCTTATTTTTTATTATAGTCTTAATTCTACAAGATATACTTTCAACTAATTTTAATAATCTTTTAGGTTCAATTTGATATCATTCTTCTTTAAGAACAGCTAAATGTTCTAATTTATTTTTTGGTTTGAGATTACATATCCTGACATTCCTTTCCAGTACATCCTACAAATTCTCAATTGAATTGAGATTAGGGCTCTATGCTGATCAAGGAAATGATTGATATAAATTTTTTTCTTTTCAACCTTTTGTAAATTGTGTTGCATGTGCTAGAACATTATCATCTTGAAAAGTATGATTATTAGATTCAAGTTTATTAAAAAAAGGTAAAAGATAATATTTAAGTAATTCTACATACTTTTCAGCATTTAATTTTTTTCTCAATTAGTACTAATGATTCTACTTTAAAGTTGCAAAAACACTTTCAAACTATAATTTCTTCTGACTTTTGAACAGTTGGAATTAAACAATTTTTTGCATATGTCTCATGAACCTTATAGCAAACCTATTGATTAACATTATTTCTAAATAATTCAAAACGAGATTCATCACTAAAAATTATAAAATTCCATTCATCTTGCCAACTTTTTCTAACATAACACCAAAGTAAACATTTTTTATTTATATCAGAAACTAAAGATTTTTCTTTACAAATACACCCATAATAACCCATAGAATGCAATATATGCTTAACAGTTTTACTACTTAATGAAATATTAAAACCCTGGTTAAATTGTTCAGTAATTTTTTCCACAGCTTGTTTATGGTTTTGCTAGACTATTCTTCCTAGTTGACGTTTATCTTGTTCTGATAAAGCTGGAGGTTTATCATTCCTAGATGCAGTATCAATGAAGTTTTCTTTATTGTACTATCATGGACAGTAGATTTTGGTTTGCCAAGAATTTCTGAGATGTTTTTTATGCTATGTCCATCCTTTGATAAACCTACAATTTCTCTATGCTCAAAAGGTGTAAGCTCGCAGGTTTTTGGCATTTTTATGTATTAAAATAATTATTTATAAAAAAAATTTTTTTTTATTTAAAAGAGCGAAGCCGTGGGATTCTGAAAAAAAATAATGAATTTGGTTAGAAATTGAGCGTACTATTGTTATTTAAAGATCAGCAATAAACAGTTAAATTTGTTTAACATCGCAATTGTCCAGATACTTTTGTCCTGTGTGTATATAGGCGCAATAGAAAGCAGAAAGGAAGGAAACTCAAAAAATTTTTTTGAGTTAATGTTTTATAATATAATTTAAATTCCTAAGCATCAGTAAAAAATTTTTTTGACATTGCTTATCGTTATCTATATAACGCAAATCAATTTTTTTTTTTGTTCTAGTAATATAACGCAAATCAATTAATTAAATAAAAATTAAATTGAAGATTTAATAATCATTGTCAAAATAAATGATTGAAAAAATAAATGAAGAAATAAAATTTGATAAGTGGCATCAGAACATTCTGCATAATATGACAACTTGTTTATATTTAACAAAAATTTTTATAATAAATGCACCATGTGCATAAATAGTAATTACTTTAATTTATTATTATTAAACATAATACATCACGTTTATGACCCTAGGGATGACCAACTAGTTGTATAAAAAGCTTGTACAAGGCAAAAAAAATTCACTACTTCTAGAGGAATTTAGTTCACTAGATTGACACCTATTTTGCGAATTTATTATTACTTGCCGATATGATCATTGAACTGACAATCATCTGTTCAAAGGAATTCTTTAAACATAAATATAACTGAAAATATTTATAACCTTTAAGATATATATTTATTTTATTACTGTTATCGGTAAAATGATCATTTCTCTTGTCGGCAAATGAGCTGGTCCTGTGGATTTTTATCTGGTTTATTTGATTGAGAAATATGGTCGTATCGCACAACTCTTTTGATTTTATATCTTTACTTGTATATGTATTTTTTTCCCCGTATTTTCAAAAATTCACTTAAAAAAAAATTGTCAAATGTTCAATATTATTATTTCGTTTAGGTCATCTTACGTATTTGTTGGTGAATATGAAAAATTTTTTTTAAAATAAATGGGTTGTCTATGACAACGTTCTAATATAACTTTTGTTTTCAAGCCTTTCTTGGAAATACCACTAAACAAGGAATACAAAGAAGGCTTTATCATGGCAAAAATATTTTTATTGATTTCGTACCTCTAAAATTATTAAAGGTGCATTCTACTATATTATATCTTTTTATCGCTTAGCCGTCACATGAAATGAGAACAATTACGTTTCTCGATATTACAAACTTTCGATATCATAATGGAACGGACAAATAAGTTATATCAAAATTTATCAACTTTAAATTTTTTTTTATTTAATAAAAAAATTAATAATAATAATAATATTCTAAGCATTGCAAGGTTTTTTTTTTCTGTAAATTAAGAATAGTATCACCACTTTTTGGTGAAAAATCAAAAATCTAAAACGTACTCCAACTCGGTATTTTATTCATGCACTGCCCTTTTATTCGAAAATAAATAATAAGAAATCAAATTTTAGAAAAATGACGTAAGATTTAACCAAAAATTTGTTGTTATTTAATCCTAAATAGCTTTGTTGTTGAAGTTGAATTATCTAGAACGTGATTATGAGCATTAACAACATTTTCACTAATAGAATTTTCGCCTGCAGAAACATAGTGTTGTTCTTGACTTAATTGTGGCAGATTAATCGAATAAGAAGAAGAATCCAAATAAGTATTGCCTTGCTGAAGTGATGTAGCATGACTAAATTGGTTGAACTTGTTAATGGAGAGGAAGTGGGGATCGGCGATATCTCCCTATCGACATACAAATAGAGATAACAAAATATTATTTTTTATTACTCTTCTAGTTCTCAATGCGTGGAAACGAAGTTTCAAACGCCAACCGTGAACGAATTATCGTTGCGTACTAAGCAAACAGTCATTTCTACTCAACTTAATATACCAACTAGTGCCATAAGTGATATTATAAAATATAAAGAACAGGTTCTACAAAACCTAAGCAACGTCTTGGAAGATAAATAAATATTCAAAGAACGTGATACTCGAGCTTTGAAACGTATTATACGAACTGATCGGTTTTCTCCTCTAGGTGATGTGACAGACAAGTTTAATACCAGCCTTGACACAACTTTACACTATAATACAGTCAGAAAGTTACCTTCACGATGAAGGTCTTGGAAGTTACTCTGCAAGAAAAAAGCCTAAATTAACCGAAAAACATCGAACTAACCGCTTGAAATGGTGTAAAGAAAAATAATTGGGCAAAGGAATGGAAACAAGTGGTATGGTCAGATGAATCAAGGTTCGCTCTTTTCAATCAGATGATCGAGCAAGAGTATGGAAAAGTCCTGGAGTGTATTCATTCCAAAGTAATGGGGGTGTTTTGATTGGCATGCACCTGCAACTTCACCGCATTAAATATCACACCTATAATAGCACTTTGTACTGTATAATATTTATTTATATTATGCTTAGGCGTGGCAATTAGGTCGTCATAATCAAAAGCGATCCATTGGGATACCCAGGTTCGAAGTTAGTACTCAGTAAAGAGGGCGTTTTCATCTAATTTTAAGTATGTCTGATCTGCAGTAATTAAAGGCCAAAAGTAGTTAGTTTCCGTTGTTACTTTTTAACTTTTATTTTAATATAATAAAATTTATTTGTCAATTAATAAATACAAAAAATTTTTCACTTCAAATATAAATTCCCATCTCTTCCTTTTCATTTCCTTTTCACCTTTTCTTTTTAAAAAATTCAAATAAAAATTACATTTGCCTTGTTGTCTAAATGTATCAAAATCCATCAGAAAATTATGAAATACACGAAAATAGAACCCAGCCAAAACTATCATCGGATACCTTTTACAATGGAAACATCGCCTATGATGCCTTTTCCACGACAAGAGATAATAATCTTAACAATCATCCACCTTACATAACTGCGCCAAACGCAACTAGTAATACCGAACAGTATTATTCTACTACCTCTTATACATCTGAATCAACATCTTACATCGGTCAAGATTTTAACGACCAACAGAACTCACCAAGTAACATTCCCCCACATAATAATCCTCCAACTCATTCACCTGGCATGAATAATGCTAGCTCTTCCCAAATACAAACGGTTAAAATTCTCGGTTATGATATTATTATAATCCCCACATCATCTCCGTTGGCAAGTTTAATCAGTTTAGACGTGCAGCATCAACTGCAACAAGTAAATGTTTATTCGGATTATTCTTCTTATTCGGTTAATCCACCACAATTACAGGATTATACATTTGCAAATGGATACGATCCAACTTTTCAATATCCATCTCACGCGCCGCAGTCGATCGCTAGTGATAAGATTTACCTACCTAGCTCTCCTCAAATACAAACGGTTGAAATTTCCGGTTATAAAATTATTATAATCCCCACATCCTCTCCATTAACAAGTTCAACCAATTTAGACATGAATCAACAATTTCAACAAGACAATACTTACGTGGATTATTCTCGTTTGGTTAATCCACCACAAATAATTCAACAACACTATTTTTCTAGTGAAGGTGAAACTTCTATTAACGAAAATGTTATTCACGCTCATATTCACGTTTCAGATAATACACAACCCCAATTTCAACAACAAGACTATTCAGGATTAAACGAATCGCTTAACAACTTTAACAACTTTTTTGGCTGAGAACACATTTTAAATCTTACAACGTTATCAAATTTTTTATTTCGTCATTTATTTTTCCAATCATATTATTTATTTACTTTGACATGTATGATTTATTTCTTATAAATAAAGTTTATCCTTTATAAAATTATTTTTTGGATATAAATATACTGTGCGTAAATAACCAATCACATTGACGTTTTAGATTTTGTATATCGCCAAAAAATGCGTTAGTTTACCAGGAAAAAAAAACCCTTGCAATGATTAGAATATTATTTATTTTTTTTATTAAAATAAAAAAATTTTTAACGTTGGGTTTGATATGACGGATTTGTTAGTAAAAAAAATTCGAAAACCGGAATTATTCTGACGACTAAGCGATACAAAAATATAATAGACTTTCAATAGCATTTATCTCATTAAGAGTTACGTTTAAATTAATATAATGCATCTTTAATCTCACATTCTTTCTTTAATATTCTAGATGATTATTCATGTAAAAAAACTTAATAATTAAAAAGTAAGAACGAAATTATGGAAAATCGGCAAAAATATATTTAGCATGATAAAGCCGCAGTTTTTTCAAAGCAAACAAGAAAAGGCTTAAACATACATTAGTTACATGATTTGAGATGTAGAAGAGTACATCGACAATGATAAATCATTTTTTAAAGAAAGTGAATGGTATTCATCAACAAATACGTAAGATGAAAGTCGAACCATAAAAAGTTCGTCTTTCAGAATTCAAAGCAAGCAAGAACTTTATTTATTCTCACCTATAATATATTAATTTAAACTAGTAACACTGCTATTTCCTATAATTTATAATTTTCATATTTTTTAGTTTTTTTATTAACAAAAGGATAAATTACTTACCTTAATAAAAGTTGTATTAGCTTCTCACCATAAAATTTTATAATATAAAAATTAATTTTTTTTATTTTAAATCACAACACACTCTATAACCTAATAGAATCTTTTTCCTCCCATAAATTACATATATTTTTGTAAAGTAGAAGAAACTTCCGCCTAAAAGGTTTTTCTAATGACCAATTTCCTCCTGCTAATATGAATGATCTGCAAAAAATTTCGTGTCAAAAAAAAAATTATTCTATTATTATGAAATACGAAAGTTTGCAAGTTCATTAATTTCGCCTCTCAGTTTTCCATTGGCTGGTATAATTGATTATGCGACAACCACAGCATCACCCAGAAAAAATGGTAGCCGGATTTTATTTGCAGGGTATTTATTATTAGTGTTAGGTATTAGAGTTAGGGTTAGATTAGGATTAGGATAGAATTAGGATCAGTTAAGGGGGTTAGCAAATTTGTCACATCGCGTCATATCCCAGCCGTTCTTCAATTTACTAAGTATTCAGAGAGAAAAATGCTAATTGTCACAATTATATGTCACCCAAATAGGTACATGTGACCCGGCAAATAAATCCGACTACCATTTTTTTCTGGGTGATGCTGTGGCTGCTTTGATTATGCTTATTTGTCACGTGCAATTGCGTGACGAATAAACCTAACCCACCGAAAAAAATTTCCGTCCCTCAAATAATAAATTTAAAATCTCGAGTATTACACCGAAATAGTCAATTAATTGTATATTGATTTTACATGTACAATTGGTCATATTGATGTCAGGATTTTTAGTTAGACTTCAACAAGATTAGTCCTTGTTAATTTTTTTTGACAATGTAACGAATATTGTATTTAAAATTATTTTTAAATACTTTTTCTTGCACCGTTTCTTAATGCTCTAAGCAATCTTGCAAAAAAAAATAAAAATACAAATAGAATACGATTTAAAAAATTTTTCGTCAGCTATTTTTGGAAATGATCGAATATTTCAGAGGTGTTAATTATTGCAAACATTCAATAATTAGAAGTCCCGCTTTGTGGGCATCATTTATTGCATTTATTGTAGTACGTCTAGTTAAAAAATTTTTCATTGTTTGTATTTTACTATATATGTCTATTTTTGGTCGGCCAAGTTTAGCCGCTTGACCGCCAGGTCATAATTTTTTGTTTTGTTGTTTTCTATTTCTTTTATTGAATCCGATTTGTTATTATTATTTTTATTTGTATAAAATTTTTTTTTTCTTTCGCGGAGTTAACTTCCGGGTATGCATTTTAATATTTTCCAAATGCAAGCTCAACCATTCTAAAATAAGTAGTGATCTTTAAAATTCTTTTTTCGATCACGATTATTTATCCATCTATAAAATTTTCAGCGATAAGGAATATTAAATATGAAGCCACAAGATAAAGTGTTTCTTACGAGTAAACCATTGAATATTTTTACAATATGATATATGATATGATTATCACGTGATATATATTTTTATATGGTTCGTCAAATCCAAAATTTCGGAAACAAAACCGGTTGTGCTTGGTTCTACTTGAAAACGTATTATTTTATTTGTAGTTTATACAAATATAATCAGCGTTTGTATTTAAATTCTTTGTATACATAAAGTTGTGACGGTTTTTATATAATTTGTATGTGTATGCAATGAGAAAAAAAATATTTTTTTTAAAAAAAAAAAACGGAACATTATTATAATATCATCTCCTTAAATCAAATTGTTTATCTCACTTTATCTATTCATGTGTCACGTTCAACGATCTTAATTATTATCATTTATCCCATTTATCCCTTATCTTTATCGTCCTTTAATGCACTTTTGTATAACCGTAAAATTTTGGTTACGAATTATCATCCATATATTCTATAACCACCAAATTATACATGCAATATCAACATTTAACCTTTTCTGAGAAAAATTTACCATTTTATTTTGGCTATTTATTATGATAATTTTAACAAAATATTTATTATTTGTGTCAGAAATTAATTTATTCATATTTCGCAGATTGTTAGGAAGATCAGGTTCTGGAAATTTTTTAACAAAATTTTGATTTTTATTGCATTTTAGTTTTTGATGTTATTAGATTAAAATATAATAAGGTCTTAATTTTAGTCAAAAAAATTCTCGAGAGCCTGATTTTCCTAGCAAACTTCCCATATGACAACTCACTGTATATGATGTATTATTTTTAAAAAAAATAAATATACTGTAAATATAGTAAGTAAATTGTAGATTTTATTTTCGATTGCAAAGATAGTCATTGTATCATTTTTTTTTAACGATAAACCAAATATAGTAAAAAAAAAAGGAGGGGGTGTTTATAGATCATCAATCAAAGATTTATATGTCAGACAATGATGTGATAAGAAAAACAATAGTATACCACGTTTCTTTGGATTTTGTGTGTCTAACCTTCGCGAACGAATGAGAAATCTGATGAAAAGAAATAAACCGATTAAATTCTCGAAAAAGAAACATGAGGCTGAAAATTTAGTTTAAATGAAAAAAGATATATATATATATATTTAGGCGGTGTTATAATAAAAACTAATTTACATAATGATCGAAAAAATATAAAATTTTGTATGGATCATTAATTCGATTATTCGAGTTCCACGGCACTATCAAATAAAAATGCTATGGAAAAAAAAACGGACAAATCCTATTTATATAAACACTTGCAAAAACTTCTTAACAATCAACCCAAGCTCAACTTATAAATGCAAATTCTAAATAATCCACGATATTCAATAACTAATACTCCCATTGCCACACTTGAAGCTTTTAATAGCACATCTAATATGTCAATTAGTATCAACTACAAGGCAATATATTTACGCAAACAATGACTTCTTTCCCGTCTATTCAGAAACCTCTCTTTTACGTAACTTTTGAACCAAGAATTAAATGGAATGATAATAGCATTATATTGTTACTTTCTTTTTTGAAAGAAAATAAAGAAGTACTAAAAGTATTAGTAGAAAATCGTGGCGGTATTGGTGACATTACCATTAAAAAAGAGCTCTGGGAGCATGCATCAGAAGTAGTGTTCTTTGGTGCAAACATTTACTATAGTCCTGATCAATGTGAGAATAAGTGGTGGAATATTAGGCGAGCTTGCATGGTAAGTTTATTTACTTTAATAAAAATCTTTGACTAAGAAAGTATATTTATTAATAATCGTTGAATCAATTGAATTAATGTAATTTAGCGTAATCGTAATTATCGATATATGTCAGAAGTTAGAGAAATCGATCCAAGAATTTAATGAGTCGATCATACTAAATCTTCATTTCATTATCGTATTAACGATTTGTTGTTTAAAGAGGACCAAAAGGGCTAAGTTAAGTTGATTTCTAATTAACTAGCTTAATGATCGCATGATTGAAATTTAACGTTTTTTGTTTATTAGAAAATTTTTATATAGCCAAATATTATAATTTTAATTCTTTTGCTTAACAATTCTAGCATGGTATTTTTTAAGTTATCTTTTTAAAATATTTTTTTTTTTGTTTTGATTTACTTATTCCTTTTCATTAATATATTTAATGGCGCAGCATTGTAGCGTTGCGACTTTAATATTTTTTTTTTTTCAAAATTTATATAATTAAATGAAAACAATACATTACTGAAATTACATTATTTAATAACAATTAACCAATTATTTATTTTAAAATTTAGTTAACCAGTTAATTGTTAGCTAGTTAATTACCGTGACCATTAACATCCCTAAACTTTGCTCCTTTATTTTAAATATTTTGAACATAATTTTCCAATGTAAAGATCTTCAAAAGAATTATTTCCAAATTATAATCCTGTTTTTTAAAAACTCCTGATTACTGCAAACGATTATCCAAGTATAATTTTCTATATGATCTTCTAAATAGAAAAGTTTCCTTTAAATATATAATTCCTAGTATGTTATTCCTAAACGTTAAATATTTTTTCATAACAAATCAATAATATTTTATTATTACTAGGTAGAATCTCATATTTCTAATCATTATTTATTTATTTATTACAGAAATTATGAGGACATTTTGATTTGTCAAAATTAGGCATTTAGGTTATTATCCTAAACCTCATGTATAAATAAATTATTTTAAAGTATTATCACGTGATAGGGCTAGGATAATAGCATGAACCCAGGGTACATTTTTAGGACGCCCTAAAAACGTGTCATTTTTTACTTAAATGATAAACCCTCAAATCTTTTCTCTTTTAAGTAAGATTATGCTAAATATAAAAACACTTACTTCTAAAATGTGAACAGTCAGGTTATATATCATAACTAAACAGTTAGAATGAAATAACTGTTTATAGTATTTTAAATGTCTTTTGCAAAACTAATTCTTTAATACCAAAATAGCAAACTGATCACCTACCATTTCTAAGTATATCAGTTCAACAAAAACTTCAAGTTTTTGTTCAAAAAGATGGTAAAACTCATTAATTTTGCTCAAAAAAAGCTTTTAACTATTTGGATAGTTTATACAAAACAGCATATTTCTGCTTTTATTATATGTTAAAATCTCAAGAAAGTTAGACTTTTTACTTGTATTTCTCATTGTAAATCTGCTATAACATAAGTATATTATCAAGCTCATCTTAAATAAACTTGTATATATAAAAATTAAATAGTAAAACAATAAAAAAAAATATTTTTTTCTGATAAAAATATTTTTATACAATTTCAATAAGATCATTAAGTAAAAGTATGATATGAATCTGAAAAAGAATTACATTCTGATTGCATTGCAGATATTATAAAAGATAATTTCAGTAGAATATTTTAGAATACTTTTCTTAATATGAACTTAATTAATTGTTCTATTAAAATATTCAGTTACTGGTTAAATATATGTTAAAATTATTAATAATTATGCTATACTAGAGCTTTAAACAGATCGGTTCAGGTTAGGTTAATCAAGTTACTTAAACTGAGAGGATCAGGTCAAGTCAAATAAAAATCTAATCTGATTTAAATTTTCATTTAACCTAATCTGATCTGATCTAATTTAATTTAACTTAATTTGATTAAATTATTTAAAAAAATAATATATTATATTTTTTTTTGGTTTTTTATTTCTTAATTTTTTAATTGTTTTTATATTTTTTTAAATAAGACAATGCAAAACTAGTAATTATGGTTTATATAAAGCTGTTTTTGTTAAATTTAAATAAAAAATTTATATATATATTAATATACCAGATAAAATTTTTTAAAAATTAAAAAAATTTCATATAAATTTTATATATAAAATTTTTTAAAAAAAATTAAAAGTTGGATTGCTATGCTAATTTAAAAAATTTATGCTATATAAACTATAAAATCAAGTTTGCATAGTCTAAATATCATTTAAATAATAAATTTTAATATATTAGTTATATATACAATTTTATTGATTGACCTATCAAGTCAGATTTACCTGGCTTGACCTGATTTGATCTAAAAACAGAAATTTTTTTCTATTTACTTGTTAAAAATATTTAATATAAATAATAATATAATAAACAATTATTAATTCACTTAATCAACTATTATAATTATTTTATTATAAAAAAATTGTATTTATATTTCTTTCACTATTTTTTTATCATTCTTTTATTTAATATATTAATAAAAAATTATTAAAAGATTACTATAACAAAATAGTAAAAAAAAAGTATAAATTATTATAATCTTAAAATTTTTATTCAATTTTTAAAACAAATACATGCCTAATACTTTCTTGATTTAAATTAGATTTTTTCTTTATAATTAAATCAATACTATTTAAAAATATTCTTTTAACAGATATACTTTTAAAAAAATATTTTATTTACCTAATATAAATAAAAAATTCTGTGTTATAAATACAAGTTATGAATAAGTTTCTTTATATGTCTATATATATATAATATAAATTAATAAATCTTTCTTAAATTAATAATTAATAAAATATAATTATCTTTTACTATTATAATAGATTTGTCTTAAATAGAATTATAGGTTTTTGAAGATAATCTTCTAATTAGTGTTTCAAAAAATAGATCAGATCAAATTTTATTCAAATATGATCTAATCTGATTTTCATTTTTTAGAATCTGAATTTGATCTAAATTTAATAGATCTATTGAAATTTAGATCTGATCTAAATATGATAAATCAAATCTCAAAACTGAATCTGATAAGTTAGTTTAAATCCAAATCTGATCTGATCTAAATCTAAAAGTTTTATTAAAAAAAACAATTTTTCAGTTCTAAAAGAGTTCTGAAAAATCATTCTGTTTCAATGAAAAAACCTTTTAAGCTTCTTCTAAAAAATATTCTTCTAAAATTTTTCATACTCTTTTAGATATATGCTTTCTTCCTCCTCTCTTGTCATATTTTTGCTTGCTTTTTAATGCTCATCTAGACTCTAAAGGAAAATCTTAGAAAGAATTACTATTAAAATGTGAGTTTATTATATAAAATTATTATATATTTTCAAAACAAATTTATTTATCATATAATATTTTCTTTTTCTTCAGAGATATCAGAAGTATCTTTGAATAAAATAAAAAATTAAGATTAGATGCCTTTTTTGAATTTTTTATAAACTTTTCTTTACCTTGTATTATTTCTATATTGTTAGTTATAGTAAGTTCTAATTCTCTAATCAACTTATCTATTTTAGCAGTTTTGACAACATTTATTTTTCATTTTGTCACTTCTAATAATAATTAATCTTTTGTCAATCTTTTGAGATCAATATTTAAATTGAAAGAAAGTGGTGATTAGATAAATATAAAACAAACTAAAGGTATAATTTATTTTATTATCTGATGTATTTGGCATAAAAATAATCCATTGATTTTTTAAAACTGTATGAGCTGATACTATAGGCTTTGAAATTTCAATTTTATTTTTTTTGCAAATTAGCTAATTATGCTGATGAAAATTGTGTCCACTTTCCAATATTAGGAATTTCTCAATCAAAAATATATCCTTTCATTAGTCTATCTTCTAACCAGATTTATTCAAATAAATTAGAATTATTAGAAAATGTATTTTTTGCTTTTTTATTTTAGTCTAAACAAATAAAATAGGTCAATATTAGAATTTATTTTATTTTTTTTTGATTTTAAATTTACCTCTTGTCCAATTTGATTCTAAATGTACAATAAATGTTTCTTAAATTTCTCTAATTGCTGTCTTAATATTAACACTTTCCATTATATCTAATTTAAGATGTACTTGATGCTTAATAGCATGAGTAATCTATTGAAAATTTGAAAAAATTATTAAATGCTCATAATATAGATAAAAATTTTTTCTTAATACTTGAGCATGATGACTATAACTAGTTGTTTTTGCTTTTCCTACCTCTAAACATATCCACTTTTTTATATTTATTTGATACTATTCTAACTAATGTCTTAATATTATTATTAAATCAGCATTATGATAGTGTGGATCATTATCTGAGATAATTGTGATCTATTTTGGCTTATTCTCTAATGATTCAATCACAGCATGAAGTGATAAAGCTGTAAACTATAAATCTTGACGCACATCCATTGATCAATAATTATATGCATAAATATTAAGCTTTTGAGATCCTAATTTTTTAGTATATATAAGAATTAAATATAAGGTTCAACCTTTTTTTTCAAAAAATTCTGCTTTTGTTTCTTTAAAACTTTTAGGAAGTATTTTCATTTTATAATCAACCACTAATATAGTACTATTTTCATCTAATTCAAGTAAATTAACATTAAATTGAACATTCAAATAAACCTTACAAGCTTGATGAGTAAGAAAGTATAATAGATGATTTTGATACTTATTAAGGTCTCCAAACAAGTCAATAAAAAGCTGATTTTTAAGATGTCTAAAAAAGGTAAATAATTTTATATATTCTTGAGATACATATTTATGTTTTTCTGTACAAATTCTGAATGCCTATAGTAAACAATAACTAATACATGAATTATGCTTTGTTGTTTCTTTATCACTAATATCTAGATTTTTTTCATAATCTCGCTTTAAAAATTGTAATTTTCCAAATCATCAAGAAGTTATTTCTAAAATGACAAAATAATTTAGTGTTAATATACAGTAGCGGTCATAAGTATCCGACCGCCTCTAACTCCGGCTACAAGTAAGTAAATTCAAAAATTTTTTTTTTATTTAAAAAATACATAACCAACTAACTAAAAT